CAGTTAATTATGTATCAATGCATACATTTCCACATTAATTGAGTTATTAATTTATTTCCGTATTTTTACATTTACACATCTAGTTATTTCTGTGTCCAGGTCGTAAGAGGAAAAGTAAATTTGCTTCGACCAATCCTACTTCAGTAATGTTAGGACGGCCCACTTAATTTACATATTTACTTTTCCTTGTACAACATGGACACAGAAATACATAAATATATTTATTTATATATTATTATTATTATATTTGTTGATGCATTTATTTAATTATTTATTGATTTATACATTATTGTATGCATTTCTCCCAACATATATTCATTTATTTATACTTTAGTCATTTTTTGTCCCTCATACAAAATGTCCACCAATGTCAAAAGAAAATATTCAAGCAATTAACCAACTAGCTAATTAAAACTATAAAAAAAATAAAGGAGTAAGTAACAATTGTTCACTGTTAGCTAGTCCAACCTTAGCCGCATAACTGTTAGCAGTTAGCAACCAATATCTTAGCCAAATATAGCTTAGCCCAGGACACAACACGATTAAAAGAAGGCAATTTATTACCTTGGAGGGATGAAGGTACAAAATCTGGAAGACTGAACAATTTGAAAAAGTATCAAATAGGAAAAAGTCGGAAAATAAAACTAAACTCAAGAGGATTAGCATTCTTTGCTAACAGTTTGAGTGCGGTTACGTTAACTGGTGACTTTTAGCCAAATGCGACAGTTAAGCGTTATTATGCTAAAATACCCGCTAAAAATGTCTTAAATTAAAAGAACATTACTTGTTTACTAACCACCTCCAACATTTGTTGTATCTTCGACGCACACAGAAGCTTTAAGCTGTTTTACATTTCTTTCTCCCCAGCAACCGTTTGACAGGGCTCGACCTCCGAACTCCTACCGGTCAGTGTACCGTGTGGGCGGGGCATCCTTGTAAAAAGCCCGCTCTACTCAATGCCGACCAATCACAGTCCACAGAGACTCAGCAGCAGATATTCATCCATTCACCGCAGTAAGAGGTTAAAGTTAAACACACACAAACTGAAAGTGAAAACATCATCACAAATGTTAAAGAAGTATAACACAAAGAGGCAAAAATAATTTAATTAAATGACTTTAAAAACATTTTAATTATTTTCAATTCAACTGATATGAAGAAAAAAAACATTAAGACCTTTTATGGTTTTTCTACTCATAACATTAAAGAGTTTGATATATGAAAGGCATGGAGTCATGATGTTTGAAAGCATTTCTTTCTTCTTACACAGTGTTTAAAATATTTTTCAAATGAGTATAATGCCAAACTTTTATGGTTTTTGAATAAAAGTGCTGCAAAGAAAGCAGAGGCAAGCAGATTTTTTATTATCATCAAGATCAGCGATTATCAGAGGAGCTGAAGAGGAGGCGTGGTGGTGTGATGGAGATAATAAGAAAGTCTATGTTTGATGTGTCATCTGTTTGTCAGACATGAACAACATGACAATGCTCCTCCTAAATCTGAGTACAGACTGTAAAAGTCATTTGATCTGCAAATATGCATATATATATATATATATAAAAAAAAAAAAAAATTCAAGGTTTTTTGGTACTTTTTATGCAAATATTTTCTAAATAGGACAGTGCACATAGTCAGAAATCAGGGAGAGAGAGTGAATGACATGCAGGAAATGAGCCACAGGTCGGATTCGAACCTATAGGCCACCCACTTGGAGGACCACAGCCCCTCGATAGGGCACGTACACTGATCACTAAGCTTCTGGCGCCCCTATGAATTTACATTTAGTCATGGCTGTTGCACAGGTCTTAGTTTAAGTTGAGTTTCCAGGATGTGGCAGCTTTAATACACATTTGGACTTTTGCTGCTCAGTCTTACCATTCAAAGTTGATGTGACTTTTCTCTAACTGCTGTCTCTGTGATGAATTGATGCAAATATTGAATTCAAACTTTATCTCAACAATGACATTAACTGACTTTCTTCACAGGTAAAGTGGAGGGTGTTTCCCCTCTCGGGTTCTTACTGAAGGGACTGATGAGCTGACGACAACATGCACATATGATGCCAACTTATTCTCCAGGATGCTGTGGTACCAGCACAAACCAGGCAGCCGGTCTGTGATCCTTATTGGGAATCAGAGCCAGGTGTCTGTCCCATCTCAACTCCTCTGTTACCTTCAAAATCTGGTATTGGGACAACCACATGCAGAAGTGAGTGGATTGTTTTTATTTAGCAATTGTGACACCCCCAAGCTGCTCTTGGACCAAACCTGCAGAATTCACTTCCTCTCTGCTGACCCCTGTGCATCCTGTGCTTCAACACATCAAGGTAGAGTCAGACGGAGAGGACGTGGAGGACAAACCACTCATCAGTCACATCTGTCAGGGAGTGATCCTCTGTAAAAGTGTCTCCTGACAGTTTGTGTGAAGAGGTGTGACCAGCAGAGGCGTCCCTCCCTCTGAGCACTGATAATCTAACAAACATCAGTTTCCTCTCTTCCTTCCCTCAGCTTCTTTTCTTAGCTGTCACAGAAATAGCAGCAGCCAGCTCGTCGTCTCTCAGCAGAGCTGCACAGCTGCTCTCCCAGGCTCACCGAGATGGAGGCTGAGATACGGAGGAGCACAGAAACTAACACGCTGGAGGTTTTTGTATGATGCTTTCTCACCGTGGGGACAGGGAGCCACGGTGATACATTCCTATGGAGCCGCCGTACAAAAACCTCCTCCCATGAACACACAGTGAGCAGACTGCTGCGTGCTGCAGGAGAGCAGAAACACATGAAATCTGGAGGTGGACAAGAGGACAGGAGGCTTTAGCAGCACAGCGTGCATTCATATAGAGGAAACCTGCAGGAAAAGGTGTTTCTAACATCTTTAAGTTCACATGTTCACAGTCTGGATCTTTCTTTCTCTGCTCTTCAGAAACAACAACACTCATGTGAACTCTCTGAAGCTCATCCTGCATGTTTAAACCTCCTTCATCCTCTGGATCATCACTCTGAGCGACATCGTGCACATTCTGGGACCTTTTGTGACTTTTTGTTGGAGGAGACTTTCAGTGTGACACTGGAACTGAAGCTCACTTTGGAGAGGGAACACGACTCACAGTTCTGGGTAAGTTGGAGCTTTAATCACTGACGTTCACTTAAACAGACTTCAACTAGTGAACAAGTTGTTTTCAAGTCAAAGACAAAACATGTTGTAGTGAAGAGTCTGAATTATTGAGCTGAACAGAGACACTGTGAGCTACACTGAACCTGCTTACTTTGGCCCAGGAACCAAACTCTCAGTTTTAGGTAAATATTTCAGTGTTTCACTCTCTTATGATGGATTTCATGTTGCTGCAGAGACTCAGTATAGATGGAAATATGAGACAAAGCTTCTTACAGATTAGTGTGGCAGAGAAAGAAAGAAGAGTTTGATGCTCAGTGTTTCTGCACTGTGACAACGCTAACGAGGCGTACTTCGGCCCGGGGACTAAACTGACTGTTTTAGGTGAGTCTGGGATGATTCAGATGTTACAAATGTTTTAGGTAAGAGAAGCTTTCTGCAAACACAGTCTGCAGATCAAACTTACAGAGAGACACCAGGTCAAAGGTCAGTGTCAGCTCGGAGCTTTTTGACGTTAAGATTCAGCACTGTGTCAACAACGAGGCGTACTTCGGCCCGGGGACTAAACTGACTGTTTTAGGTGAGTCAGATCTTTATAAATGTACAAAGATAAACGTGATGAGACGTTCTCAGGATCCTGATATGTTTGGGTTATTATCAGTTCAGCTCAGAGCTTTTTGACATGAAGCTTCAGCGCTGTGCTAATTACGAAGCGTACTTCGGTGCAGGAACTAAACTGACTGTTCTCGGTGAGTAAGACTGTTGAATTCAGCTCATAAAAGAAGTTAAACCGAGTAAAAGTAGAGCCGTGTTTTGGTTTTTTGAAGAGGATCTTTGAGAGCTGCTTCCTTTGCATTGAAACATTTGTGAGATTTGAACTAGACGAGAGGAGGGAGCAGCGTCTGGTTTGTTTTGAGTCACAGACGACTTCACTGTGACTCTGGTTCTTCAGAGGCTCACTTTGGTGGAGGGACACGGGTCACTGTTTTAGGTAAGGAACTCATTCTTAACATGAACAGTCTGTGATGAAAGTCTGCAGAACAAACTCGTTCAGTGTCAGCTCGCAGCTTTTTGACATTCACCTTGAACGCTGTGTCAGTACGAAGCGTACTTCGGTGCAGGAACTAAACTGACTGTTCTCGGTGAGTAAAAGGACGTTTTGTTGAACTCTTCTCCTGAGACAGACGTTAGGATGCAAAAAGAGAAGACTGTTGTAGTGGAAAGATTTTTTAAAGGTAACTAAATGTGAAGAAGCAGAGTAGAGGCAGCGTCTCAAACGACTCTTAAAGACAAACATGTGACTCATAAGTTGATGAAATATTCACAAAATAACAAAGACATGAATAGATGTTTCAAAGATGGAGATAAGGGACGTAGAGGTTGACTAGCTGCAGGCTGTGAGGTCTTTATATGTGAAGAGGGAAACAGTTGGGATCATTTTAAGTAGAGCAGATAAAAAAGAAGCAGCAGAGAGAGTTTTTGTGAGGGTGGAAAGTCTCTGTGCTCCTACAGCGAGGCTTACTTTGGAGCTGGAACTAAACTCTCTGTTTTAGGTAAGAAAAGCCTCAAACAGAGCAGAACTCACTGGTTCTCTCCAGGTGTCCTCATTAAGATGCTTTAATAAGTGTACTGTTAGAGCTCGTGTGTGACCATGAACAGAGTCCTCTCTTTTTCAAACATGTGAAGGACTTTCTGCTCACTGTGTGTTCATGTCAAAAAAGCAGCATGGCGTTTTGTTCTGCTGTAAACGTTGAGAGCATAAATCAAACATTTGGCTGTGAGCCCGGATTATTCCTCTCACACAGAGTTCTTATCAGCTCTGTGAAACGCTGTGAGCTACCAGGCAGAGGCTCACTTTGGAGCGGGAACCAGACTCAGTGTTTTAGGTAAGACGACTAGAAACAGGACAGAATATATCATCAAGTCTGTAACTCCTCCAGGTCAGGGTCAAAGGTCGGATCTGATCTCATGCTCCTAAAGGATCTTAAATCAGAAGTTTAATGTCAGAGACGGCGTGCAGCTCAGAGGTCGAGGAGGTTTTTCTGCAGCTCTGTTTCAGTGTGAACTACGATCCTGCTTACTTTGGAGCTGGAACTAAACTCAGCGTTTTAGGTAAGAGCATCACAAAAACTACAGAATATATCATCCAACTAAAGTCTGTAACTGGTCCAGGTCAGGGTCAAAGGTCGGATCTGGATCTAATAGTCTGAGATGAACCTTAAATCAGAAGTTTAATGTCAGAGACGGCGTGCAGCTCAGAGGTCGAGCAGGTTTTTCTGCAGCTCTGTTTCAGTGTGAACCAACCAACCTGCTTACTTTGGAGCTGGAACTAAACTCAGCGTTTTAGGTAAGACGACTTAAAAACAACAGAATATATCATCAACTAAAGTCTGTAACTGGTCCAGGTCAGGGTCAAAGGTCGGTTCTGATCTCATTCTCTTAAAAGGATCTTAAATTAAGAAGTTTGTGCAGCTCAGAGGTCGAGCAGTTTCTCTGCAGCTCTGTTTCAGTGTGAACAACCTCGATGCTGCTTACTTTGGAGCTGGAACTAAACTCAGCGTTTTAGGTAAGAAAATGACAAAAATAATCACACACACCTCGTGATGTTTTATTGAAACTTTAAGAGAACGATGTTTTAGTCAGGGTGGTTTAAAGATGTCTTATAATGTTTTGTTTCTTGATCTCCTGGAGCGCTCACGTCCTGCTGAGATAGTTTGCAGAAAAGCTACCAAAGAAAATGAACATGTAGATTTACATACTGTCAAATGTAGAACTTTATACTTTCTGCTCGGTATTTTCCTGTAAATTAACAAAACTACATTTACAACAATCATCCTGTAATCTGCTCTGGAACTGTCAGATCATTCATGCAGCATGTTTCTCTAAACGTTGAATCTTTCTGTTTGTTGGATCAGTACATTTTTAATCTCATCTTCTATGATCTCACATTAGTTGATGATACCGCTGCAGAGAGACACATTCAGAGCATGTGTTTAAAGAGAATCTCCAGGGTGCCTGTAGCGTAAACTTCTGATTTAAGTTTTTTTTAAAATAATGAGATCAGGATCAGCCTTTAACTCTGACCTCTGACCTCTGACCTGCTGGAGATGTTCAGAAGGATTGTTGTGGTCAAGCGTGCGAGAGGAGGAAGATGGAGGATCAATTCTTGAGTCTGAAGTCAAAATGTCACAAATGAAAGGTTGAAAATAAATATTTTCTTTAATACGTTCCAGGAAGAAGAAACTAAATGATATCAGGAAGGTTTCTCCAATCAGAGGCAGAGGAGATGAGATATTTTGACTTGAGGAATAAGAAAAGAGGGAGAGGAGGAAAACGTTTTCAACCACACGGTTAGAGAATAAAGTCTTGATATGAAGTGTGGCGTCAAAGCGTCAGAAATGAAGCTGAAATGTTACACAATAAAGAATCATAGTTGTTCTCCTGAAAGTTAAAACTTAGTCTCCAAATGCTAAACAACAAGAATCATCTTTTTCTTTTCAAAAAGAACTTCAACTTTATTTTACTCTCCTCTGCCTCGCCCTCGTGAGCGTCTGCACAGACGATAAAGAGAAGGTTAAACTCTCAGTATTTTATTCCTCACTCCAAAAAAGTGAGAGAAGAAATGTTTTTAAACTACAGAAACCAGTCCATGAGTTTGGTTCCTGTTGTGTAAAGAGACATGAAATCAGCTGTTAGTGGATCAGAGTCAGTTTTCCTGCTGTGTTCAGACTCTTCTCCTGCTTCTTTTGGAGACAGAACCAAACTAAAAGTCCTGGGTGAGAGCCACAAACTGAATATTCATGTAAAAATATGTTGATATATAAATCCCTCTGAGTGTGAGATCTGCTCACTGTGAGCATCATGTTTGATTCAGAGTGATTCTGTGTCTTTCTGCACCCTGATGTTCACGTCCTCACTCGGCTCTGAAGACCTCAGACGCACACTGGAGCAGAGGTGTCAAAAGTATTGACATTGATTACTCAGGTAGAAGTATAGATACTAGGGTTTAAAAAGACTTCTGTAGAAGTTAAAGTATCAACTCAAGCTTTTTACTCAAAGTGTAAAAGTACTGGTTTCAAAACTACTTAAAGTATAAAAGTTAAAGTAATGTAAGGGGGAAAAAATGCCATTAAGGACAAAAGCTTAGGCCGCACCACAGCGTGTAGGAATGGTATATGTTTATACTTCTCATCCAACCACAATCAAATTCACTCTATCAGGACGGCGCGATTGATCTGGATAGGTTTTTGAAGGATGACAAGCCGGAGTGAAAACAAGCTGAAATGAAATAGGAGTAACAAGGCTATTTTGAAAATGTAAGGAGTAGAAGTAAAAAGTCTGCTGAAAAAGAATTACTCCAGTAAAGTATAGATACCCAAAATGTCTCCTTAAGTAAGAGACACCTCTGCACTGGAGTGAGGTGTGACTCTTGAGGTTTGTTGTGGATCCGTCTGCAGCTTTAACTCGCTGATTTCTGTCCTCTGTGTTTTGCAGAAGAAGGACTTAAGGTCACTCCACCGACAGTCAGAGTTCTCCCAGCTTCTCCAAAGGAGTGTGGACACCAGAGTAAGACCATCGTTTGTGTGGCAGTGGATTCTACCCGGATCATGTCAGCTTCTCCTGGACCGCAAGAGGGCGAGGTCAGCTCAGGTGTGGCGACGGACAGCGAGGCCGTGCTGGAAGAAGGAAAGACCTACGTGATGAGCAGCAGGCTGAGGGTCTCTGCTGAAGAGTGGAACAATCCTGACAATGAATTCACCTGCACCGTCCGCTTCTTTGACGGGGACAAAACGGTCCTTACTCTGCTTCAGTTAAAGGAATAGAAGGTAATAATCTGATTCTTCATCTGTTAGAAAAACAAACACAGCGACATGTTTCCTCGTCTGATTCTCGTCTCTTTTCTCCTGACAGCTGAAAGAAAAACCATCACCAGAGGTAAACGTCTTACTACACTGTGATGATCATAGAACTCATATAAACTGAATGTTTCCTTCTTTAAATCTCATCTCCATGTTTGAACTCTTTCAGACAATATCTGAAGGTCACGCAGAGCGCCAAACTGACGTACAGCGTGTTCATCGTGAAGAGCTGTTTCTACGGAGCGTTTGTAGCTTTTCTGCTGCTCAAGTTTCAGGTGAGCTCGAGTTTAAATCCTCTCCTCTGACCGCTTTGGGATCTGTGAGTTGAATAATAAAGACGTGGTGTTCTTTCTGTTTGTTCCAGGGGGCGAAGCAGAAGAACTGAGAGCAGAGCCGACGCCTCACAAGAGGATTCTGGGAAATCTGCTCAGTGTTCATGTCTGTGTATGAAGTTAGCAAATTTAATCTTCAAGCTACTTTTAAAATGATTGTTCTTCGGGGCGCCATATAGCCTAGCGGTCATGTTGCACGCCCCATGTACGGAGGTTGTGTCCTCGTCGCAGCGAGCGGCCGTGGGTTTGAATCCGACCTCTGACCTCCTCTCTCTTCAGCTGTTCTTTCTCATAAAAGCAAAAAGACCCAAAAAATATCTTTCTTTTTTTTTAAAGATCGTCCTTCACAGACGCTTCACTCTGAACGTCATCAAAGAAAATCACAACGATACCTTTAAAAACAGACGTGAAGAAGCTACGATCAGACCAGAGCTGCACACATGATCCATCTTATCACACTTCAGAGTTACAAAGATGTGTCGTGTTTTATTCTTTCTTTCTTTCTGTCCTTCTGTCACTGAAAACTTCACGTCTTTTCTTTCTGCTCTGTACGAGAATTATATTCAAATGTGTCATCTTAATAAACTTATCAGACTTTACTTCAATTCTTTGACTGCTTGCTTCTTTTTTGTCTC